ATTCGTATTGCTTCATCTACGCCTTTCGGTTATTGCTATTTTTTTCACTTAAGCGCGAACTTTGTTCGCGTCTTCAGATAAAGATGAAGGACTTTCGAATGGCTACACTCTAGCTTCGCTGCGGACGGTTGGGCGTGTCAGGCAGTATGAGTGTGTCACACCGTCAAAGCCGTTCTCTGCCTTGTTGAAGCGCGCATGCGACAAAAAGTGGTAGAAAACGAGTAATACGAACGATATGATACAGTATTGTCACTTGCTCGCTTCAACAACTGGTGGAGAACGAGTTTGGCACCGCGCCAAACGCAGCCGCACTGACACGCCCAACCGTCCGCAGTGAACTACACTATAAAACTATAGGAATTCAATGAATGTCCCAAAGTTGGCAAAACTGTTCGAGGGCAGGCCGTGGTTTTTTGTTAGTTGATCACAAAAACTTTGTAAGTAAATATCACTAGACTCCTCAGAGAATGAGTAATTCCAAGTATTGAAAAGTACAACACTATATTTGAACTTCGAAAGCTTTTTAGGGAAGCTATTTTTTGTTCACTTTTGTATACAAAATATCGTCTACTTACAGATAAAAGAAGGAAAGTACAATGAGGTGATTCGAATACTTCAGTATGAGGTGCAGCGTGCTCCCACGGTACGTTCACGTTGAGAAACATATGACCGTTTTCGCTGCGAGTGCTGGGGCGTTCCAAGTGAAGGGGATGGGTTTGGCACGCAGGATGCCAACTCGTTCTCCATCAAGTGCTGTTGAAGAAGACAACGATTGGTGGAAGACTGACTGTGGTTCCGCTCCAAAGCCATGAGCCCCCTCTAAAACGCCCCAGCGTCTGCAGCGGAAACGACGATACATAATTTTTCTAAGAAGTTTTATAGTGAATTTACAGAATCGTGCCGCACTGTCTCTGCTAGGATATTGCTACTACTTCACTCAGGTGAGGAATCAGTGCCTAGGCACGTAAATAGACAAACAAGTAAACAAATAATCGAATAATTAGTCGGAATAGCAACCATAACTACCAACATTCTTCTGCCAAAGAGACGGTTGTGATGTGCTTAGGCTGCGTTTATACTTTGCGGCAGCGTAGCGTAGCGTAGCGCAGCGTAGCGTAGCGCTTCCAGCGTACGCCAGCGGCAGTGCCGAAGAGAGGATGCATATCGATCTAGCTTCACCAGCGTCACCAGCGGCACGCTGGCGTGTACTGTTAGCCGGCCCGAGCTAGCGTGACGGCCAGCGTTTCTCCAGGTTCACTAGCGTTTGCAGCGGCAGGAAGTAGAGACTATGGGAGAGCTGGAGGGTACAAAACACATCGATTGCGCGTCTCTCACTCGCCCTTAGTCTCTACAATGCACATCGCTTCTGCGTCTCCGACGGCCCACATAGTCTCTACAATGCACATCGCTTCTGCGTCTCCGACGGCCACATGGTCTCTACAATACACGTCGATTCCGCGTCTCTCACGGCCACATAGTCTCTACTCCCTGCCGCTGCAAGCGCTAGCAAAACGCTGGTGCCGCTGGAGAAACGCTCGAGAAACGCTGGTGAAGCTAGATCGATAGCTATGCTTCCCGTGCCCTCGCTACGCCAGCGTGCCGCTGGTGACGCTGGTGAAGCTAGATCGATATGCATCCTCTCTTCGGCACTGCCGCTGGCGTACGCTGGAAGCGCTACGCTACGCTGCGCTACGCTACGCTACGCTGCCGCAAAGTATAAACGCAGCGCAGCCTTATTCTGCTCGACATAGAAGCTCATAGAATTTAGAAGCGGATATGAAAGTCTTTTGATGCGCGCCTGCACGTCCTGTTTAGCTTTCAGAGCATTTCTCCCTTCAGCTTTGCATTCGCACTGACACTCACAGTTCTATGTTGTCAGACATCTCTTATAACATAGCCATCCACCGCGCTCGTAATACTCAAGGGTCTAAGCGTTGAGGTTCGACCCTAGATGAATCTTGGAATGATAACAGTTTATTGCGCTAAGCGTTTCGGCTATCGCCTTCGCCAGAGCCCTGAAAGAAGTCGAGATGAAGTGACTCGGACATATTCCAAACCTCAGATAAAGCTGCGTCCCAGACCAGACAAGGATCACGAAACTGTCCATGGATCACAAACACAAAACGCTCCCTATTTCACGGCCGTTTGCTGGAGACCACCGGCGATCAAACTCTCAGCTGACCTGGCCCCTCGACTCGAAGCCGATGGCAATTGAAGCCCACACAGGTCAGCAAACGGGGCGAGCTCGTTTGTGATGGCCAGGCATTCGTCCTTCTGTTCATTTTGGGATTTTTAGCGCCTATCCAAAACGCTTCCAAAGTTTTGCGCGCCGAAGTCTGTGGTTCTCGCATCAAAATCCTAACCGTCACCTCAAACTCCACGCCTCCATGGCATTGAACCCGATGACTACCCAGGGGGTCTCTGGCCTAGATCGCCTTAGACCATCTAGGTGCTCCTTTACCCTGGAGCACAGGGGTCGTCCAGTCTCCCCGATGTACTCATCCCCACAACTCGTGCATGACATCAGGTAGATCACACCTGAGGCCATGCAGTCCCCCTCCCGCCCAGAAGGACATGTGACACAATGTGGGGTTGGGCAGTAGCGATCATACCCGCGGTTGCGGATCAGCTGCTGCTTGAGGCTCGCAGGAGGGATCTCGACCAGCCGAACCATATTGTCGAGACCACACCTGCGCAAAGACGATCTTACAGCAGCGCTGTGCTCCAGAGTAAAGGAGCACCTAGATGGTCTAAAGCTATCTAGGCCACAGACCACCCTCCCTCCCCCTGGGTAGCCATCGGGTTCAATGCGTGGAGTTCGAGGTAACGGTTAGGATTTTGATGCCAGAAGACCTCTGCGCGCAAAACTTTGGGAGCGTTTTGGATAGACCTTAAAAATCCCAAAATGAACAGAAAGGACGAATGCCTGGCCATCAGAAACGAGCTCCCGTTTGCTGACCTGTGTGGGCTTCAATTGCCATCGGCTTCGAGTCGAGGGGCAGGTCAGCTGAATGGGGAATCAGTTCAGCGGTGGTCTCAAGCAAAACCAGCCGTACATTCAAGGTGAGTCGTTTTGTGGTTGTGACCTATGACAGGTTTCTGGATCCTTCTGGTCTGGGACTAGCTTATCTGAGGTTTGAAATGATGTCCGAGGGTAGTTTCACTTTGATTTTTGACTTTTTCCAGGCTCTGACGAAGGCGATAAGGCCGAAACGTTAGCCAATAAAACTGTTATATCATCTTGGTCACGGCTACAGCAACACCTCTAGAGAAAACTAAGGCTCCCTAGCCGGTTCCAAGTTTCTTGAACCGCTCGTGTAATCTCAATTCGTCGTTCCGGTGACAAAGGCCTCGTTGACATCCTCCATTCTCCTGACTTTGGCATTTTCCTTCTCAATTTGCAATGAGCAGAGAAATTGTGAAAGCCCGTTGTTTATTCATCCAAGCTAGTTCACATCACTGAAAACTGGAGAAACCAAGCGACTGAATACAGCGAAAAATACGCTTTTAAATAAGTTAGAATGTGACAGCAATACCCTAAAATTAACACAGAAAACAATGTTCGACATTGGGCCCATGGAAACAGCACGCACTTCCCAAAAACCTAATATTCTGTTACTCTTATTGTGTTGCTTTCTTGATGTAGTAATAAGATAGAAATTAATAATTCGGAAAAATAAAGATAAATAAACACTGCAGAAGAACAGAGGTGATACGGTAAGATTCATTTGTTCACATTTACCCCGTTTCTAGGACTTCATCAATGCCGTGGACGCCTATTCGCAATTATCACGCCTCTTTCCTAATTTCCCTGAGTACAAGGTCTACCATGCACAGTCACTCTACAATGCTTTCATGCTTCCAGAAGCACTACAGATCGTTTCAACAGTGAGTGTGTTCACATTTTTCTTTTCCCTTC